GGTACTATTTCTTGGAGTACTTTATGCAGTGCTCTATGGCTTAAAGTTTATATATAGTATTTATTTTAAACTAAATCTAATAGATTTTTATATAATTGATTGATCTAATTTTTGTTAAAATTGATTTTCTGGAAATCTATAATGAATAAGAAACAATCAACAAAGAATTTATATAGTCAATAAAACGTTTTTCAAAGATATTTTAGCAACAACTGTGCCAATTTTGATAATTTAACCACTATTATATTCGTTTTAATAAGCTCTACAACTTTACTTAGAGACTCAAAGATGGTTAACTTATTACAAAAAAACTTTTAGATGTAGGATATTATGATTAACAAATTATCAATTAATCATTGATTGGCTAAAGATCATATGATATTAATCTGATATTTGTTTATAGTCATATCTCTATACAATCACTACATTAGAGTGCGATGGACTTGGTAATTATATAGAGGTCTGACTGTACATAGTTAATTATAGAGTTTTTATCTAACTCGACGAGTAAGATATCTATTGTTGAGAAGTTTACAAAACTTTTACTGAAAATGTTAAAAGCTTTCAAACACGAAGTACACTTATGCTTAATAATTATCCAAATATCAAAGCACAATTTGAAAGTTATTTGGTACAATATGAAAAATACAAGAAAATTACTTTTTCAAATAACAAGGATTCTATGAATAAAGAACTATTGGAAATTAACAAGTTGTTTTACAAAACAATCAAGAAACTTAATGAAGAAGAGATACCAAAGTTTATTATTATTACTTTTTATCAAGATATCATAGCCTTTTACTACTCTATGATAAATATTGTTCAAAAAGACCAATATTTTAAATTTAAAGAAAAAAATGAATACAATTTTATTAGCAACCAAAAAAATATTTTTCAAGATAAATTTGAAAGTGTTTATAAAATTTTATCAAAAAATGTAAGTGAATATATTATGAATGTTCGCAAAATATACAAATCAAATTTATATTTGCTTGCAAGATGTGAGTTAGATAGATTTAATGAAATTTTAGAAAAATATAAAAATATACTTTTTGCATTAGATAATAAAAAACTTAAAGTTTTTATTAATGCATCAAAATACCAAGATATTATTTATATTTGTAATAAGCATTTAGCGCAATTAAATAATGAG